CAATGTAATCACAGTGTTTCTTGAAATTATATTTTGATTGGGACATGAAAAAGACAAGTAGATCCTGAAGAGAGGATACCCACTTCCCACTCTTGTCCTGCAAACAGAACATAAGATCACATAGAGTAGGTCATAATAAAAACAAACAAATACCTAACAAGGAAAGAGGAAAGGCAAATTTCACAAACCAATGATACATCTTCCGGTGCTTTCACAATAAAAGCCTCAAGTAACCTCCAAAACAAACAGATAAGCATTTCAGCATTCAATTCTTTTATCTTAGTTCCATTCATGCATTCCAAGAACCCTTTGTGGTCTCCATCCAACATGCCCAAGTTAAACTGTAGATTACATAAGATTGGGAACCAGCAGATTTAGTCAAACAGTTAAGAGAAGTAGAATAAAACCCTAAATATGATTGATAACAGTGTCAAAAAAGAACTTTGTTTTACCCGGCTTGCAGATAAAACGTCCCCTGAAGACATCACTAGTTCCCACTGAGTTTTAAGTATTGGAAAGAAGGTGTTGAACAATGTTAAAAATTGATCCCCTGAAATAAATAAAATGAAAAGAAGCTGAAAAAAATACAACTTTGGAATATAAATATAAAATCAGGCCATACGAAACTAAAGATATAAGATACAATCCATACCAAGAAAGAAGAAAAAAACACTAAAACAAAGAGAACGAACATGGACTTGCAGATAACGCTTGAGTTCATAAGTTAGCTAAAAATTAGAAAGGAAGAATGACTCTGTTTTTCTTAACAATCTAAATATCATTGAAGTGTGTCCCTTATCTAGGTCAAGGACCAAACTAGCCAGAGTCTGTTCTAAACAGAGTAATACATGTATAAATACAGGCATCTTAACTAAAGCACAAGCCACAAGGCACCACAATATGCATACTGCTAAAAGAGAATACTAGTTACCAAGTCTTTCTGATAAAAGGATTTTTAGGAAACAAAAACAAATGAATATTCAGAATCCATCCCCGTAAAATATACAAGACAAACATTAATGAAACTTCCATTTCATGTGTAAACAAGGACTAACATAACCATATGAAACGCACTATTATTTTTAGACAGGCAAACTATGAAACCATTGGATTTGTCCACCATCAAAGATAAAAATGAAATCCAGACAGTAAAAAATTAATTGAGTGCAAGTACCTATTTCTGGCAACACAAGTAGTTCTGATAAAACCAAAAAGAACAACGTCTTTGACAGCTCTGATGCATTGCAGCATTCAACCAGCCAAGGCAGATAATCTCCAATATGCATAAGGAATGTTCTTGCCAAAATGCGGATATTTTCTGCATTTACTGAGGATATGCATCCAACATCCCATTTCTACATTTATTTTAGGTAAAAAATCATTATCTAAAGGCAAAACAGAAAAGAGACTTTCTTGAATACACACACACACACACACACAAACACATTTGAAAGATAAGTGTTTGAACAAAACATCACCTTATTCTGCTCTGACAAAGAGACAAGATTGGTATACAAAGGCCACTTTATTTCCTTGGCTATTCTCAAGGCCGTCTTATTTAATTCATGTGTCTGCATTAGAGGAAAAAATAAAATATAAAAACCAAACTACAAGATCAACGATCTTTCAATGTTGACTAGTTAGTAGTAAAACATGATTTTAGAATAAACCTTTGGAACAATTAAGATCAAGGGGAAAAGTAGTGTTGCAAACTTTTTGGCAAATGAGCCAATTTCCTGGCAACTTTTCACAGCATGTTGAAGGCAAGACACAGCAACATCAACTGCTAGAGAAGATTTGTGCTCTGCACCTATATGTCAATATGAACATTAACAAATAGCATATATCTGTGAAAATGTTTGCAATGAGAACACAATGGATCACACATTCAGGCAAAATCAAACTCACTAGATGTTAAAAGCCCAATGCATCTCCAAAGCACATTCTGAACTGCATCAAGAAGAAATGAAGGATTTACTATTTCAGACAGTGCCTCTACATTTAAAACTGCCTTAACAACACTTAGGTCATCATCGTAAAGCCTCCGTGATATTGCATCTTGAATAGTATCAAACCTCTGGATGACAGGAGAAAAAACATTTTATCAACAGATATTGTCACATACTATGAATCTCAACTCAAAATGCAAATAGACTACAAATAAGACAGAACCAGAGGTGTGAACTCATGAAGAAGTGAAGAATATGTGGGAACTGTAATTAAACAAACTCCAACTTTGCACCCAAAATGAGGGAGAGGAAAAGAACACATTACCGGAGAACCAACAGCCTTGTCATTTAGCAAACTGGGCACATCCAGACCCAAAATGGTGGAATGCCGAATCTCTGCCTGTTGACCAAATGTAAAATTAAAAGTAGATCCAATCCAATAATAGGTGATTTGTATCCCAGGAGGTATAGGTTCCTGTATTTTGATATAAATACTGATATTCTATTTATATATATTATATAAGAGGGAAAGAAGTTTTAGAATGCCCAGCCAAAACATGTATGTCAGTATGTGCAACCATATGATGCTAGACACTTCAATTCTGCCAGAATTATCTTTCCTGGTCACTTTATTGGTAAACAGGCAGTCTATGCTAAGAAATGGAACTTGTGTGACATCCTCAGTGCAAAAATCATTAACAGATTAACCCAGTCTATCACTATCATTGTTGATCCGTCAATTAGTTTATTCTTCACCCTTTATTTCAATATAACCAAGTTGTACCAGCCCAATGCATCATTAGGAAGAAACAAGAGATGACATTGGTCATACTTACCATTCATTCTAAGTGGTTCCAAGAAATACGAATATATATTTTAAGAGAGAAATATTATTACCTTTGGATGTTCCAAGGAAAACCAAACTTTTGAATCAATTAATGTATGTGAAAACTCCATATTCTCATCTAGCATCTGGCTTAGTGTTTCATGACAGGACGCCTCTTTCTTGGTCTGCAATTTGGCATTAATTTAAAGGAGGAATCTCAGGAATAGAAAACAACAAAGACAACAGAGAGATGTGGGATAGAAAGGGGCACAATCAAAACCAATTAAACCTGTAGGAATCTGTGAACTGCTTTTCGCAACTCAGATGGATACTTCTTATATAATGATACCATCATCTGCCTGGCAAGGTTTCCTGTCATCATTTTTATAAGAAAACAGCAAGATTACACAGCAGTTAGAGGAAGAGTAGAATTGAAATATCTGATCTTAAATAATAATTAATACACTTGTAAACTTGTTTGAATTTGTAGAACGTAGCCAATTCATGTTGGAAGGATAATTAACAAATACTCCATATATGTTGATGCAAATTAGAAAATTTTACAATTAAGAATTCCAATCTCAGAAAAGTGCAAACCTGTGTTGGAGGCAGTTAAATCACTGTTTTTAAATGTCCTCAAATGCGTATTTAGCAGCTTTGAAACTATGCGATCAAGTAAGCTTTTCACAGGAACAGTCTCAATTATGGCTAATAAAGTCTGATGGAATGCATCATCAGAAGAACTGGAAGATAATATGGGTTAGTTAGACCAAAGCAAACAGAAACACATTACAGTAGTGTAAAATCATTAATTGGCTAAATTTCAACCTGTACTCAAGAAGGGAGTCCAAGAGCACGCCCAAGAATTTGTCAATGTTGAACTCTTCTGTCAGCCCATTGAGAAATTCCGATATATCCCTTCAAATCAAAACCAGACGCAATATGGATGAGTTAGATATGAAGGAAATCAACAGAAAGAGAACTATGAATTTGGTAGGTTCTATAAGTACAAGTCTAGTAAATACTACCTGATCTCATTTAGAATACCCATGCTCTTCTTTGGAATTATTTCAACAGACTGCAACTGAAACAGGAAAGTTCAAACAAAAGTAAGATGACTTAAATTTCAAGTTTCAGTCAATACAACAGATTTAAGATCTATAGCAAAAGAGATAAGCCAGCTCTAGAGCACAGAATAAGATATAGAAGAGCCTAGGACTTTTAGAAGGCAATATCGCATCACAAGTAACATCCATGCAACAAATATTCTAATAATACCTGGACAAGGTTAACTAAGGCCATAAAAGACATGCGAAACGACCGTAAGTCAGTTGAATCCTTTGCATCATTGCAAGCCACATCTACTAGGGAGCGAATCAAGCTTCTGACAGCATTAGGAGACAGGGCTACCTTATAAGCTAGCAAGCTGACAATCATCAAGGCACCAGCCTAAGCAATAATCAGGTCAGAAAGTAATTAGACGTGATGTTGAATCCACAAGAATGTTAAATACATAAAGACAATAGGTTCACCTTAAACAAAAGAAAATTTCCTGTAGAAACATGGAAATACACCCATCAACATTGCAACCAGGCATGTGCAAACAACATATCCAACCCATACAAGATACAAATTAAACTATCCAGCATTTATCAACATCTATAACTCCTTAGAAACAAGAGGGAATAGGGGAAAACAAAAAACAAAAAACAAAAAACAAAAAAACAAAACAAAAACAAAAACAAACAAAAAATACACAACAGATACTTAGCACAGGTCAAGAACAAGGGACATAGAGGCTAATTGTTTTAGTGGTTTAAACTTGATAACAAACCTTTTGATCACGTCCTCCTTTACCATGAGGTTGAAGTCCAGAAGCAACATATGGTAGAACTCTCTTTACCACATCATTGTCTACAGTCATTAGAGAGCCCAACACCTCAACAACCACTGCTGTACAAAAGCCAATTACAGGTCTAGATGGCTTAATCTTCTTTGCTCTTGTTGCCTAATAATGCAAATCTTTCAGATTCATGACAAATAGCAAACTGACAAGCTGACAAGTGATCAGATAATGAGCATCACTAGTACTTACGTAGTCGCACAAAACATCTAAAATCCCCAAGTCACGGACACATTGTTGCACGATAGCCTTCCTGGAAGGTGGTGCACAAGTGATCTTAACATCATCAAGAAATTTCCATTTAGTGTTTCTGCAACAAGGGTAATAGACAAAGTTTATTGTCATGCATGCAAAAGCATAATCAGAACTGCCAAATAACATGTGTTAGAATATAATGTAAATTTGCTTTACCCTGTGTCTATTAATTTCACAATGTCAACAAATGCATGGGTATCATGGTAAGGCAGCGCACATAAAATTAACTCCTCCTTATTATAGACATGAATCCTGTAATTTCACAATTAAAGTAAATTAGGTCACAAAAAGGAACTAGCCAATAAATACAATCAAATATGAATCTTATGAATAATTTTTTGTAAACAACAAAAACTGAAGAATTACTTGTATCTTCGAATCAAATATTCTAGTGTCAACATGGCCGAACGCAATTCAAGATATCCAGACAATAACCACAAATATGAATTGATGGATGCGTTGATTCTGTTGTTTTCCTCAATGCCCATCAACTCTCTATCCAAATCTCTACTCTTGTGACTAAATAAGTCATTTTTGTAATTCCCAAACCTTTCGTCAGTGTTTATTAGGGAATCCAGACCTGAATTGTAAATAACAAATGTCATCAAATGCATAATTTAGGGGACGGGGACAAAACCACCAAAAGAATGGCAATAGACAAAGGTTTACAATAAAGCTTTTTTCTTTTCTTTCAACTCATTATTTAATAGACAAATGTTTACAATAAAGCTTTTTTTCTTTCAACTCATTATTTAAAGATTTCTTCTTTAGACTTTCAGTAACTTATCTTAAAGGATTAAGCAAATTAGTAAAACAAAAAAAAAAACAAAAAAAAAAAAAAAAAAAAAAAGACAATATATGTACCCATGAACAATAATTGTAAAAGTACAACGAGCATGGAGGAATTGCACTGCTAAAATTGAGGCAATCCCCGAAAAGCTGCGTCCCTAATGCAACTTTCTGCTATTGGAGTATGAAATTCTAGTTATTAAGCAAAACTTAGTTTTTAACTACAACTTGAATTGGAGTTGTGTATTTTCTTCTTATTCATTGCAAAAGTGAGATAAACCTGAGAGAGCGAGGCTATGAATGGTGTTTATGTCGTAGTCAGCAGCTTTTTCTGGGCTGAATAGGACTGAGGGCCGTGTAAAGGGTTGTTTCTGCGGCGCTGAATCCGATAACACTTTAGACTTGATTGCCTGAAGCTGTGAAACGATTGAGGTCGCCATTGTTTCTCTGGTTTCAAAACGACAGAAGAACACAGTTTCCTCCTTTGATTGTTTCTTGGCTAGACGCAGTGGAGTTTTGTTTATCAAAAGGACCTTTCCTGCCCTGTGGATGCAAAAACCCTGTTTCACCGACGGGTTTAGGGTTTTAGGTTTGAGCGGTGTGCCATTGAGGTGGTCAAAAACAATTTCATTTAGAACCCTACTGTGTACTTAGGGCTTGCGTAAAAATATTTAAGAATGAATTTTTAATTTCATGAAAAAAAAAAAAAAAAAAAAAAAAAAAAAAAAAACTTGAAAATATTGATTTCATGTGAAAAATTAATTATTGAAAAATATTAAGGAAAATGTCACTTTTTTCCCCTGAGTTATATACCTATAGCATTTTTTCTCCCTAAATTATTGAAGTGGCTGTTTTTCCCGCTGAAATGTTAAATGGACATATTTACCCTTAAATTGAATATTTAATTTATTTTTTTCTCCAACAAATTATGACCATAATTTGGTTCAAACTAAACAAACACTATAGCAACCAAACCGAAATATTCCAATTACAATTTAGAATCGAAATTCGATATTTAGAGTTTATTAAAATCGTGAACCGGAACGGACGGTTCATGTTCCGAACTGAAAAAAAAAAAAAATACATTTATTGTTGAATTTAGACTATTTTAAAATAAAAAATAAAATTTTAAAATAAAGACGGTTCAAAATCGCGAATCAGATCCGGAACCGCTGGTTCACGGTTCAAGATTCAATTTTTTTGATACATAATTTTAATAAATTGACATTTAAATATTGAGTTCTAGATCTGAATTATAACCGTAAACTATTAATTCGATTGCTTTAGTATCCGGTTCAATTCAAACCGAACCGTGGTCATCCCTACGTATACGCAATAATTTGTTGGAGTAATAAAATAAATAAAATGTTTACTTTAAGGGTATAAATGTCAATTTAATATATTAAGGGAAAAAACACCACTTTTAGAATAATTAAGGGGACTAATGTGCTTACCTAAATAATTGAGGGGAAAAAAATGCTATAAGTATATAACTCAGGGATAAAAAGTGTGATTTTCCCTTAATTTTATTATTTAATTATATTTTAAATTGTAACAATTAACAAATAAGGAATATAATTAATATATCTAACTAATTATAATACGTGAATTGTGCAATTAAATTAATATTCAACATGAAAATTAAAATAAATAAAATAAATACTTATTATAATTTTTAAATATCAAAATTAATTAATATAAGTAACAATAATTAATTCCAATATAATCAAAATGAATATTTTCAACTTGTTGTAATAAAAGTGGTAGTAAATATGAATATTGATATATATAATTATAATCGATAATAAAAATTAGAGTAAACACCCAAAATGGTCCCTTGACTATAGCTAAATTCACAAATTGGTCCTCGACTTTTAATTTCAACCAATTAAGTCTTTAACTTTACAATTTTAACACAATTTGGTCCTTTTGTCTATTTGACCGTTTGTTGACTGCGTTTTTTTAGGATATATATATAATTTCATGGTCCATCATCGGTTTTTTAAGATTCCGGTTGCATTTCTAGACCGCACTGTTACATTTGAATCCACTGTCGACGCTGTACCCCATAATGCTGGAGAGATTATAGCTTTTGATAGATAGATCGCCGAAGTCCCTGGAGTGGCTCTTCGAGAAAGCCGTGACTCCAAGCAATGTAGGCAAGCTGAACCGGCCGAGATCCCCAAGCAGCAAGCGGAGAAGCACTTCCCCCCTCCAAAACGGCGTTGTCACCTCCAAGAGCGTTCTCTAAGCTGAACCGGCTCGTGATCCCCAAGCAGCAAGCGGAGAAGCACTTCCCCATCCGAAACAACGATGTCACCTCCAAGAGCGTTCTCTTTAGCTTTGCACGTGAAACTACATATATATCCTCAAAGATCGCGGTCAACAAACGGTCAAATAGATGGAGGACCAAATTGTGTCAAAATTGCAAAGTTAAGGACTTAATTGGTTGAAATTGAAAGTCGATGACCAATTTGTGAATTTAGCTATAGTCGAGGGACCATTTCGGATATTTACTCTAAAAATTATGTCCTAACAATTTTCATATTAAAATAAATTATGTATTCTTAATGAGATATTGATGAGTCAGTAAAACTTAACTTATTTTTATTAAAAATGACATGACTATAATAAACTTATTGATGTTGTCTAAGAATAATTAAAGAGTTATGCACTGAAATTACAATGTACAAATTCATAAGTTATCATGGTGTACATGATTGATACCTCAATTGTCATTATTATGCGAATTATTCATCTTTGAAGTTTTAAACTCTCGTTAATATTTTAAAATATTAACTTTTTCCTATCAATTTTATTAGATCAACCAAAGCTTATTTAATAAATTGTAAAATTTAATTAAAGTAATATATATTTTGAATAATAAATTAAAATTTATACTACAACAAATAAGCTTTGGGTTAAACACATAGAAGACAGTGTATCATTGTAATAATTATAGCTTGATAGCTTGAAAGTATGGGACAAACTTCCTTTGTTGTTACGATCAAAGCATACACTACTTTTTTTTTTCGAGTGAGGAATATCTATTATATGCTCCCTTTAGGGTTTGATATACGTAGTAAATCGGGTGTTGCGCATTTTCCTCATCTCGGACTATAATCGACCCAATGGCTTTCTAAGAGGTAGCCATGTATAATAATAGGTTTTCACATTTTCTTGGTTTTGATAATAACAGAGGCAACAAGTGACATTTCTTCAATTCCTCGACGGCAGCTTGACAGTCATATGGTCACTGAAACCCTTATCGCTTATTCATAGCCTCAAAGAATGGTAGGGCGCGGTCGGCGGACTTGGAGAGGAACCAGCTGAGTGTTGCCAGGCGGGCAGTTAGTCAGTCTTATTTGATATTCATGGGTGGTTGCATATCCAATATAGCCCTCACATTTTTCGGATTGGGCTCAATACCCCGCTTGGTTATCATGTACCCTAAAAACTCCCACCCACCCCGAACTGCGAAGGCACATTTTTGTTTTGGGTCTAGGCATAGGTTGCACCTTCTCGTGATGCTGAAGCAATCAGGCATATCCTTTCGCGTGGTCTCCTTCTTATTTGCTTTTAATCACCATGTCATAGCCAGTCATAAACCTGCCTATCAAGCTTTTTAATAGCTTGGGCACCATGCATATAGGTGACCAGTGTTTCAGACCAAAGGGCATCACTCTATAGTAATATACCACGTCTGGTGTAATGAAAGCAATATTTTATTCGTCTGACTCATGCATGTAAATATGGTGGTAGCATTGAAAGACATCTATGAAGCTCAACAAGGCGCAGCTAGCTGTTTCGTCGACCAGTTGGTCAATTCAGGGCAAAAAAAAAAAAAGGTATTTAGGGCAAGCCGTATTCAAATCAGTGTAGTCCACGCACATTTGTCATGTCGCACGGCAAGGGTACAAACACCGCGTTGGCCATCCAACCAGAGTATTTTACTTTTCGAATATGACCGATTGCTAGTAATGTCTTTACTTCTTTCCTGACAAAGCCCCTCCGGTCGTTTGACAATTAGCGCTTTTTCTAAGCGATCGGTTTGAGCTTAGGTTCAATCAACATGCGATGGGTGATGATCGACCGATCTACCCAGGGCATATCTTCGGGTCATCATGTGAAGACTTCCTTATACTCCATCAACACTTGGATGATCGACTGCTAATCGCGTTTATCAACCCGATCCCAATTTTCACCAGTCTCTCAAGGCGGTCAAGATTAAATGCGACCTCCTCTAGCTCTACCGCCGGCCTAGGCGTTCGAGGGCCCACTATTCCGATTAGTGAGCGATAGTATTTACTCACACATCTCTTTTTCCCATTATGCGACATGCTTGCAAATAACAATTCACTGCCATATTATGTTCACACTGCACTACGCTGACGTGCAGAATGTCATACACAAGTGCGAAACGGAGACCTATGCGCCTAGATCCTCAAGGTCTGGTGGGTCGAGGATCGCATTATGCGCACAACTCAGACTGACCACTACGAACTCCATCTCAAGTTTCCTTACATGGGGCCACTACCAGTCACTGGTGAATCCTGCTAGGGAGTTATTGACCAGGCACAGTTGCTCCATGGGTAATCCTAGTTTATTGTAAGTCTCAAAGTACAACACATTCACAATACTCCCTGTGTCAACTATGACCCGTTTGACCATGGTTCCTTGTATGTCAATGGCAACAACCAAGGCGTCGCGATGAGGAGTCAGGCCCCTGGGCAGATCATTATTGATAAAAACAATCAGTTCTCAACAGGCTTTCTTGCGATCGGATTCTTGAGCTACAACCACCCCTACGTACAACTGCTTAGCCCAAGCATTTCGACCGCCCGTCGTGTTTCCTCATTCCGAACTGCATACAATCATATTGGTGACTGACTTGTGCTTCCAATTCCGACTTTCAATATGACCATACATGGTTCATTGACTATTGATTTTGTTCCAAATTTGGTCATTCAGTTAAATATTCATTTAATAAATATTAAATTTAAAAATAATAATGTAAAAATTAGTGTGTTGTTGAGATGAACAAATTGAGTTCATAAATTTAATACATTAAGTTCATCATCTAAAAACATAATAAGTGTGAATGAAAGTTATACCCCTGATTTATGTCCATTTTTTCCGTTAAGTTTTTTTTTTCTGTACATTATGCTATAAAGGTTGTACATTAAAATATTTTAGACAAACATACCTCTACTGTTATAACTTCCGTTATCTTTTTCCACTATTGTTACCATGCACATGCATCCACCATATATTTTCTTATCTTCTTCATTAATAATAATATATACACATTAAATATTTGAGTTATATGTTAATTATTACATAAATATAAATATCATTTATAAAAATGATTTACATTATTATTATTACTTAGAATAATTTAAATATCTAAAATCTAAATAAATTTAAAAATTTTTAATATAATGTATTAATATTTGACACCTGTTTTTTACGCATTGCGTATAAAAAATACTAGTTGTGAAGAACTAAAAATGAGACATTATTACCCTTAAATTTAATATTTAATAAAATGATATTTAACTAGAGGACCACAGAAAAAAAAATCAATAGTTTGAGACTAATTTATAGCCAAATTGAAATGAAAAGATAATAAAAATTGATAAAGGACAATAATAACAAATTAAAATTTGCAATATCTAACAATTAAAAATCCTGATTGGTTGGATCATATGACGTGTTATTTCTGTTTTCATCATAGCCGTCCAAAGTCAAAATCAGAAAAGGAGCAATCGGCCAGAGTTTTGACGTGGCTTAAGCTCGCCGCCTATCGTCAGCTGTTGGTCGTTAACCCAACTGATAACTTCTCCACCGCGCCGGAATGTCTGCAACGTCAGCTGTCGTACCTGTTCCGGCTCCCGCCGCTGCCTCGCTAAACCGCCTTGTTAATCTCCACCAAACTCCCGTTCCGTTATTCACTCATTGCTCACGAAAGTCAGCTGCAATCTCGTCTTCATTTATCAGCAGATACAGCAACCATGGCTTCCTCTGCCGGAAGGTCTCTCACCCCTCGCCCTCAGGCCTCAGAATTAAACCCCTCTTATCCCCTGTCATGGAATGGCAAGATTGCACGTAATTCCTCCCTTTGTTATCTACCTTGGAGTATATTTATTTTTCCATGAGATTATAAATCTGTGTTCACTGAGTCTGATTTTTGAAGGCTAATTGATCTGATAATTGCAGGGTGAAGATGGACGTAGATGTGCCCACTTCAATTGCTTATAAATGCTATGCTGATCGTGAAGCCATTCCTCAGTGGATGCCTTTTATTTCATCTGTTAAGGTGCGCGCTAGAATATCATGTATTCATTCGATTTTTTAGCTGCTTTAGTGATATCAAGATGCCACTGGACTAAATGCTTGGTATTAGTTATAACAAAGTTTGATTATACAACTTCTTGACTCTTGAGACTTCGTTTTTCTGTTTGTAAGAATTCCTTCTATCTATCTTAAAGCTTGGATTTTTATAGATCTTATTGATCAAATTAAATTGACGTGCAGTACTTCTCAGATATAGTTCATACATTCATTCTATATATATATTAGTTAGAACACCAACATCACCCATCGTCCTTTGGAATTTTCCACTAAGGGAACTTGATTTAGATTCTACTGTCAGATTTTGGAGGACAAGCCTGACCTATCTCGATGGTCTCTCAAGTATAAAGCATTTGGACAGGATATTGAATTCTCATGGCTTGCCCGTAATATGCAAGTAAGGCTGCCTTCAATTGGCTCCTTCTTGTTCTCCCATAAACTTTTTTATTATCTATATATATGCACGTTGTTATGCTGCCATTCATGTTTATTCTGCTGGTGTTTTAATTTTCTGTTCTTGAGCAGCCTATTCCAAACCAGAAGATTCACTGGAGATCTCTCGAAGGTCTTCCTAATAGGTACTGAATGTTATGTGGTCAACTTTTCTGATGTTAAATATTTTCTCTTTTAAGCGTTTGGTGCTTTTAGAGCTGGTGTTTTTATAATCTTTATTTGATAGACTTTTGCTTTTTACAAAACAAAAATGAGGGAAGTTAAGAAGATTGTATCAGTCCATTGCCTCTGCAAGTTAACTTTACAGTTTACACACTTTCTTAGTATGGAATAATGATTTTTCTGGACTATTTATTCTCCAGCTCAAGTAGAGACAAAGAGATAGGAAGTGATCCATAATTTAATTACTACACATGCTTCTTTGATTAACAAATGTGATTAGATAGTTCATGCTTTTGCTATGAACTGTCTCTACTTTCAGTTGATACCATATTCTTTTGTATATGACAGAGGGGCTGTTCGATTTTACCCTAAAGGTGCTTCATCATGTACTATTGAAGTAAGTCGTTTTTTAAAACAAAAGATTATGTAATCGCTTCAGCTTATGATTAAATGAATGAGTTCCTTTATTTTCAAAAAAACAAAAGATTATGTTTTTAACATTTTAGAGTTTCATTGGCTTATTTTTTCTCTAAAAGAAAAATTATGACTGCCGATTTTCTCTTCATTGGAAACATATATTCGAGTAGTGGTCATTTAAGGGGAATATATGTTTGCAAGGAACAAATATGTAAAGAAAGGTTTTTTAGACAGTGAGGGATGATCTTGTGTCCTAAATTAGTGCAAATTTTGGTCATTTAATTTCATCAATGTGTGCCAGCCGACTACAAATCAGACGAGTTATATTTTGATTATGTTTTTTGTTATTTCAGCTAACAGTTTCATATGAAGTTCCTCCATTGCTGACTCCAGTGGCATCAGTAAGGATTCCAAACTTTTATTTAACATGAACTATGTTCCATTTGAAAGAGGGTGGAGATGTAAGGTTTTTGTATTTGTTTGTCCAGGCATTGCAACCTTTCCTTGAAAGCTTACTGGTCCGCGGGTTGGAACGATTTGCTAAATTTGCCAAAGGTCACGCAGCTGCACAGCAATAAGATTTGTTGGCTGGAACATTAAATATGTACATTTAATTATGTCACATTATGTGTAAAAAATAGGTACGAGAACAGCTCAACCAACACAATAGATACCTAAAAGGACCAGAATGTATGTTAATTGTATGTATCTTATTATGTACTGTACATCAAGACTCAAGAGAAATGGGTATCTAAGCTACGCAGCTGCCTACCCCCTTCCCCCATAGCCAAAAATACTACAGGAATTGAATTATTACACATAACCAATTCAGATGTATACACTCCTCCAAGTCCAAGTAGAAGCACCTAACAAAATTGCTACATGCAAACAGTTTTGCCCTCCCCAATGGCGAAATAATAAGGGCAATATTTAAAATTTGTCTACACTCAGCTGCTGCCATTCCCATTTAGCAAGCTTCGTAGGCTGCCTATGGCTTCCGCAGATAAGTTACAGCACCTTAATCTTCGGTTGCGGGTTGGTGATGGCTCGGGATGATCAAAGGACGTAAAACAGACAATTATCACTGTTAGATTATCAAATGTGTTTAAGCGGAGGGCCTCCATGACAAGGTCCTTTGCACACTGTTCAGGGTCATCATGCCTTCTCAGCCCTCGGCGCACCAGACTAACTGCTTGTTGACTTGACATAACATCCCAGATCCCATCACAACCAATTATGAGGAATTCGTCATCCTCAGTCAGAAGAATTTGTCTCAATTCAGGCTCTGCAATTAGAGGAGATGGAGATCCACGAGGCAGTTTCATGTCCCAGTCCCCTAATGCCCGCGTCACTGATAGAACACCGTTGAGATAACCATCATCAATAAATGCACCCAACTCTTCAACCCGCCTTCTCTCTAATGCATAATTCGGTCTGTGGTCTTGAGACATATCAAATGCCTCTCCTTTCCGGCAAAGAACTGCTCTACAATCTCCCGCATTGGCTACCATTAAAAGCCTGGAAAGGATCAAATATTCAGGCACAGGGAACAAAACATATATAATTTGCCAACCACAACATGTCTAGTTCAGTTCTACTACCAAATTTTATGACCAGACTACTTCCTAAAGTGATTTTCAAAAAATCAAAATTAAGTTGAAAGCAAAAATCCTTTACATGAAAATGAAATTAAACCAAGATAAGGAAAGAATTATGTTGTCCACAATTCATTTTAGATGCTTGCAAAAGGCATTGCACCTTACCTTCCTAATACAACAGCTGCCAGTGCAGTTGTTCCTGAAGAACTGCTAACGTTACACTCATCAGCCAGAGCAAGATCTGCAAGCAGGAATCCTTTGCGCAGACTATTCTCAACCTCTCCTAAGAAAGCATCATTAACTTCAGGAGTCTGGGGGAAGTTAGCATCTTTGAAAAAAAATCTAATGGCATTTTTCCGGACGTAAGCAGCTGCTTCAGGTCCTCCATGACCATCAAATATCTGCAATGATAAGCCCACCGTATTAAATCACACTACTAAATGATCAAGAATGGGGGATTACAGTGATAGCTAGGGAAGAAATAACAATTACCCCATAGAAGGCGCTAGGTTTTGGAAATGTGGAAAGTGAGCCCAGATGTGTAGATAAATCATCTATCATTATATGCTCATCTTCCATGTATCTGCGTGGCCCAATATCAGCAAAACTACCAGACCGGATGCTGGGTACAAATTGCAAAACAGCAGAGCCCTGGGGTTTAGCATCCTAACAAATTAAAGACATGAGCTTGTGTCAATTTTGCAGTAATTCAGAGGTGCCATGGTAAGATCAGGAGGGCATAATGATAATGATAAGAAAAGGAAAGAAAAAAGCTCTAAGCTCGTGATACTTTTGTTATAGCTGGTGCCTTTTTCTCCTTCCTTCTTGGTTAAACTAGGATGATATTTTTTTTTCACCCTTGTGTGTAGTATAAACCAAGGTAAAAGCAGCTTTAAGCAAATTGTTGCAAGTATTTAAGGGTCGGTACACAGTAGATTTCAAGATCCAAGCAGGTTGTAGAGAATGGGATGCAAATAAACAAATATTTCAGAGTTCCTACTTTAACCAGCATAGTTTAGTTTATTTCTCCAGCAAATAAAAATAACTAGGAAAATTCAGCAAATAAAACAGAAAAAGGGGAAAGAGAAATTAAGCTGAAATACAGAAATGAAGATAATTAAACCAGGAAGAAAAAAGACATACCAGGCCAGAAGAGGGGACATCCAAGGGAGGGAGGCTCTTTTGGACTATAATCTCGGCTTCAGCTCCCATCTTCTTCTTCTTCTTGTTTGATTTATTTATTTGTTTGTCTGAGTTGAGTTTTTTTGTTCCTTGAAATAAATAAAGAATTGAATAAACTGCAGCTGCTGCTTTATTACTTTTCTCTTGGCTCCGATGAAGGCAACCGAACTTTTCCTTGACGGAAACGGAATCTTCAGAAAGGAGGAAGACGACGATTTCTGGAACTTTCTTTGTTTTCAAAAGCGAACCAAACTGAATAATAGTGGTTGGGCTGGAGTTGGAGTTGCATATATAGGCCGACGTATCTGGTGGTGGTGGGTTCACACGCTAAGCTACTCCGTTGAAAATATGGACACGCAATCTCTCCCCTCCCCGTGTACAGTACGGTCGAGTTGGATTTAGTCCATCCAGACAATTAAAAATAAATATATCCCCTATATATCAAAATTCTACTCGCATATCGCATTTGATTATTGTAATTGTTACGTAATGAATGAATAACGATGCAGGCTATTTCATTCGCCATCACATAAATGTTAATTGAAAGAAGCTTCCAATTCCAAGAGATGTTGGTCCAATTCTGCACTCTGCTTTGGCCTTTGACCCTGTCTTCGCTTTGACTTTAATTCCCCCCCCCCCCTCCCCTCCCTAGGGTGGTTGACTTTTGCTAACTATATGTGATAAAATATTGATCACCTAAATCATGGCAATATTTATAAATTCTTCCATGAAAACAAATAAAATTCTGGAAGCAGGAAAGAATCACTCGGTCTTTCCGTCTCAGTTTTATGTAGAATAGGCATAGAGATTAGTGTCTATAAGGCGATTTAAATTTTCAATGATAAAATTTGCACTTGTTTATATAAGTGAAATGGACAAATTTTGTCTTATCTATATTCATGTCTCTGCATTTAGTTCTCCATCCTATGAAGATGCATTACAAGTATGATAATATCTTACACAACAAAAGTTAAGGGTACACCAATATAGACAACATAATATGCATGATTGTGCAACAAAGTGATTTGAACACAATATAATAATATGATAGCAAGCTTTGCACCTCAATGATATGAAAACTTTTAGATTCATTAATGGACGAAGTTTACAGTGCATGTATAAGCAACCATACGAGGGTGAATTGAATGGATTCATTAACAGCACCTTTTAATCCTCAATGGATACAAGCTCTGGAGTTATTTTCATTCATACTGCACCGATTGTAAATTACTGCAGGCCGTTGAGTTCAACGATTATTTCTAACGCGTCAAGCATATGGTACACTCGGCCCCTATAATGGGAGGGGTTGGGATCTATCTATGACCACCATATAAAATATCACAAAGTGATGAATCCACTAGGCTTTTAATATGTGGAGCTAAAGGCGGGCTGGGATGATCCAGCTTCTGCCTGCGACAATTGAAGTAACCTAGGCTAGCTAGCTTTATCGTGGATGCAGCAAAGCTTGCTTTCCAGAGCTAGATCACCCTATCCGACAGGAATCTAACTGTGTATGTAGGGGGGAAAACAAGGTAGAAAGGAAATGTAATTTAATTATTAGGGTACTTTGGTTAAATTATAAAATCTAAAATTGATTAAGAAGATGTACAATGATAGAAATATGTGGACTTGAATAAATGTTGTAATTCAGATCTGGTACCATTCATTCGAAAGCTATAGGATACAAAATGCAGGATGCAAACAACCATTTTTTGTTCATCTTAATAGTAGTGCATACATGCACCAATGATGGAGTGGTTGGAGAAGAAAGAGGAAAGGGAAAGAGAAATAAAACAAAAATAATGGTAAATTTGTAATTTCTTTAAAATGTGATGGGTAGTTTAAAACAAAAAAATTCAAAAGTTAGATAAAAAATTGTAGTCACATGATTAGAGATCAACGGCCAGATAGGGTGTCATTTTTCATTTTTTCAGAACAATCGGTAAATCTCAAATCTCAAATATAAGTATAGGGGATTAGAAACCCTAGTATAAAAGTCATCGAAACGCCAATCTTAGGCAAAAGTTTGTAATTGAGCTCAGATCGTCGAAGGCTATGGATGATACTTGTGCAGTGTGCGCGGAAACCCTAGAATGGGTTGCATATGGTGCCTGCGGTCACAAGGATGTGTGTTCTACTTGTGTTGCTCGTTTACGATTCATCTGCGACGATCGACGATGCTGTATTTGTAAGACCGAAAACAGTATTGTCTTCGTTACCAAGGTTCCTACCCTTTATCATCCTGTTTTTTTCCTCGTAAATTTTGAATTTAAAAATTTGATGTCGTTCTTGTTTAAAAAAAATTGATGCCGTTACGGATGCGCTGGATTTGTGAAATTCTTCTCCAAAAGGTTGAATCCTTTTGTGAAATTCTGACTGAATATCTGCGTATCATTTATTCTGATAAACTAAAGCTATCTGTCTTTAAATTATTTTCTTAACATTAGCTGTGGTGAATTTTGTTCTAACGGCCCTCTTTTCTCCTGCAGGCTCTAGGAGACTATACCCGTATCATAAGCGAATTTGCAGTTTTTCCGCCTGAACCAAAAGAGGGTCGATCAGGGTCATATTGGTATCATGAAGGCATTCAAGCTTTCTTCGATGATTCTGATCACTATAAGATGATCAGAGCCATGTGCAGGCTATCATGTAGTGTGTGTGATAGGATGGAGGAGCAATCTGGAGAAGGCCCTAAAAGAAGGGGGAAGTTCAGGAACATTGAGCAGTTGAAGGGTCATCTGTTTCACCAACATAGACTGTTAATGTGCAGTTTGTGCTTGGAAGGACGTAAGGTGATATTTGTATCATGTGTCTATTTCTTTTTCCTTTTTGATTTTGCATACTGGAAAGAGCATCATAATTCATACATAAGGGTGGAAAGAAACACACAAGTACTTGCTCTCTTTTAGGAGTTAGGACTATCTGAGAAACTTGTGAACTTAAAACATGAAATTTGAACATCAAGGATTTGTTTGAGGAGTCATTGTTGGAATGCTTACTCTCACTGAATGTTAAGGAGAAATAATATTTGGTCAAATAAATTTGGACCAACTAAGGTGTTTGCAACTTTTTTAGAGTCAGACCACTTATCTCGTGTTTTATTTAATGAAGTTTCAATTTCCAAGAACTTTAATTAGCTTTATTGTTTGAATGCTAGCAAAGTGCTATTGTTCACTTTATTGCAAATGAACTACATATTTTGCATTGTAACTTAAGTAGAAGATTTAGTTAAGACATTTGTGCTGTCATTGTAAGTTGAGCTTATTTGTTTATCTTATGGACTGACAAGTTCATTATCTGTTGTGATAGGTATTTATTTGTGAGCAAAAACTCTATACTAGAGCACAGCTAAATCAACATATAAATAGTGGAGACTCTGAGGTTGATGGAACTGAGAGTGAGAGAGGTGGCTTCATGGGTCATCCTATGTGTGAATTCTGCAGAACTCCTTTTTATGGGGATAATGAGCTGTATTCACACATGTCCACCGAACACTATACTTGTCATATCTGCCAAAGGTAATGTATAAATATGATAATTCAGTCATTTACCATCACAGGTAACACAGGCATACCAGATATAACTTATCAATGTTCCTTATTTTGCTGATTCTTGTAGGCAGAACCCTGGACAATACGAGTACTACAAAAATTACGATGATTTGGAGGTCAGAATTTTCTGTTTCACATATGATATTGTATTCTCTATTTCTCTGTGAGCAATTTGAAGGTGAAGCTATCTAATATGCTGATATCTTTCTTTGCAGATGCATTTCCGTGGTAATCACTTTTTGTGTGAGGATGAGTCTTGCCTATCAAAAAAGTTTATCGTCTTTCAATCTGAAGCTGAATTGAAGGTTAGCATTGTGTTTCATAATAACGGGGCTGTGTCATGCTTTTTTTTTCCTAATACTTCCTATTTTTTGCTTAGATAGAGAGGATATGTGTAATTTTCTAAGTTGCAATTAATGACTTAGTTTTTCCAATTAAATTTCAGAGGCACAATGCTTTAGAGCATGGAGGTCGTATGTCTCGTTCCAAACGTAATGCTGCACTTCAGGTATTATTAATATTAATCCTTGGCTGGTCCTAAATAAAGAAATTCAGGGGCATGCCCGCCCTGAATCACATTTTGTGTCCGGGGGAGGGGGTGTTGTTGCTAATCTGCCCACACTCACAAAGGGGCAAAATAACCAAAACTAAAATAAAATTGTAAAAAAGATAATGTATATTTTTCAAGTGTCTTTTAGCTGTTACATGATCTATATTATTATTAATGTTTTAATAGTTTGTCAGTTATCATTTTATATCTGCACAGTTACCTACAAGTTTTCGGTATCGGCGGAGTAATGATCAAGATGGTCGACGAGGAAGGGGACGCACATTCAGGCGTGATTCCTCTGATACTGAATTATCCATGGCCATTCAAGCCAGTTTGGAGATGGCTAATTCAGATAGGAGATTACAAGATGCATCATCTTCTAGTGCTAGAGTTGTACCCGATCAAGCAGAAACAAGTGATTTTGACGCACTTGTTCCGCCATTTGAATTGTCGACTAATACAGATTCTGTATTGCCATCAAGATACCGTCAAGCCTTATCACAGAATTCAAGAAATGGCCCGCTGGAAGATTCCTCATTTCCTCCTCTTCCTATGGCTCCTGGAGGTAGTCTTGAAAAGTCTGAGTCTTTACCTATGAACACTATGGCTGCACATCTCCGTCAAGAAAACAAAAAATCTGCGAATACTACTAGTTCTGCTCTTGGCAAGCCTGCAGCAAGCCGGACATCTAAAAAACATGCAACTACCCAACGTAATTTTTGGCCTGTGTTAAGTAGTGCTTCAGGGTCAGCATCTAGTTTTGGCCTTAGTAAGCCAGCAGCTGAGAATGTTTCTGCACCTGCAATCAGCCATCAACATGCTTGGCCTTCAGTAAATAGTGCTTTTGGGTCAACATCAACTTCTGTCCGAAGTAAACAGTCAAATGTTAAGGGACCTACATCGTCTGGCAATCAAAGTTCCAGTCAGACTAGATCTGTGTCTGTTCAAGAAATAACTTCTACTGATTCTTTCAGTTCAATGAGAAATCAGACTAGTAGCAATGGAATAAACCACTCCACATCAGTCCCAAACCTTGCTGAGAATGGTTCTTTTGATTCGTCTTCATCTGTCTTTCCTCCTGTTTCAGTGCACAAGTTGCCTGGACATGCACAGGCTACAGAGGATGTAGAAGATGTCCATACTGCAAACAAATCTTTGGTTGGAAGGATACATGTTGCCCTGGACTTTGATCAAGATAAGTATGCTGCATTTAAGAACATATCAGCAGAATATCGTAATGGTGTAATTGATGCAGTGTCATATCTAGCATATGTCGATCAGTTTGGGTTGTCAAATCTGGTTCCTGAGTTGGCTCGGCTTTGTCCTGATGTAAAGAAACAGAAAGA